CATTTTCACGAGTAAACCCACCGTGGCTAAAATCGTTACGACATACTGCCTGCTCCCCCGTTCATCCAACGTTAAGCGTGCAAATCCATCGAAGAAAGGAGGACGAAGGGACGAAATCGCTGCAGTTCGAAACCTCCCTTTCGCTCACTTTTCTCATCCGAGGGGGATGCGCTTGCGTCGTCGAGCTGGTTGCGAGAGAGAAAAAAGCAACAGCGGAACGGGGACACAGGAAGATGCAACATGCGTGAATACGTGTTACGCTGGAAGGAACGTAGAGGAGGCCATGGGGTGTGTATTCGCTAGTTTCGTAGCGGGAAACTCGCGCGAACGGAAGAGAAACGAGTTTCTGTCGGGCTCACCCTTCGCGCAACATAAATCGCGCCGGTTGAGTTTCACGCGTACTTTTCCTACCCGTGTGTGCTCCCTTCGGAAGGGGTTAAAAGCGAAAAAGAATGGAAGGGCGCAGCAGAGGCCGAACCAACAGCAAAAACCAACAACCCCTGTGTGTTACACGAGAAATGCTAATTGCGAAATGCAGTTTTTTTTTGCTTTTCTCTCTTCTCTTTCTTTTTGTTTCTGCGTTCCCTACCCCCTTTTCTTCCCTTTCTTTCGAACGCCGCGAACGGCGACGATTTCTGCGCGCGCGAAAAATCGTGAAAAGGGAGACCGATGCTCCTTTATTCGCGAAAACGAGAGCTCACTTTATGGGCCAGTCGGGGAATCGCGATAGAACCATTCTCTGTAGGCATTTTGGGGCGGTTTATGACTTGGCCTGCGCCTCTTGGCGAGTGACAAACACCAGGCTCGAGTATCGGTTCGGCCCAGCGATATCTTTGCCATTCGACGGGAGTCGGTTCTTAGCTTCGGTGATAGACGGACGCCGAAGAGTCCGAATAAACTACTTTGCACGACATTTTGATTTGAGTAAAGTTCATTAGACCACCTCCTACATCTCTTTACAGCGACGATCCACCGGTGGAGGAAATGTTTGTTTCGCCTTCTATACGCGTTCTCGCGGTCTACCTTTAAATTCGATCCGGTGTAAATATTTATCAGCGATCGATACGGTGTAACCGGTGACATTACATCGCGTAATCCATGCAAACGTTAATCAGTTTCTTCAGACGTTCGTACCGCGGATTTATTATACAATCTGAACGTGTGTCGCGCCGGCGATCGTATTCGCGATACACGCCGAACGCGGCTCGCAACATCAATTGTCCCGTCGATCGTTCATTTGCATGTCGTTGCAATTTTAATCATGCCTCTAATTAAACGGCGGCTCGCTAAATTTTATCAGCCGCCTACCACCGCCGTGTCAGTGTGAAAACAACGAAAATCGCCCGGGTTAATTCGACCGTCCGAAAAGTGAAAGATACGCGCGCGCGTGTGTGTTCTTCATCCTCGCTTCTACACAACTTTATACGAAAAGCACAGATTACGTGCGTGTTTCGTTCGAATTTCAAACGATGCTTTACTATATTTCCCAGTTAACCTGCAATTCATTATTTTCCTACCGGCGGAGATCGGTATAATAATTAAGACAATATAACTACCAATTAGAACGTTAATTACCAGTTTTTTATTAGAAGCTCGTTGCCTCCGCGGCGGAGCATAAATCGCGCAGGCACACTGTTTCAAGCGGCGCCGCGCCGGTTTATTCGCCCTTCTCCGAATAAAAGCGGCCAGGCGGTGAAAAATAGCGGACAGGATAACGGAGCAAGTTATTTGTCGTTGGAGAAATTATGCTAATTAGAAGATACGTCCTTCTACATTTCGGAACCGTTTCTAAAACATCTCGTTTCGTACTTGTTCCTATGACGTTCGATTAATATTCGAAATAACTTGCAAAGAGGATCAGGCTATGTATACACGGTGGTTTCCTGAAATTATACATTCTAATTTCATTTCCATTTATACATATATATATCGTATTAACGAGAAGGCAACGGTGAACGTTTATTAATAATCATGCAAAACGCATCGACAGCCGAAACAAACAATAAAGTTCCTGATACGAACGTTTCGTATAACGAGTTCATGCTAGTTGGAATATTATCCTACTTCGCATTGATTGCGGCCAATTAAACCGTTCAAAGCGGCTGTTAATTTGCCCGTTGGACGAAAGAGGCTGCTGTGAAATTTATCGTGTCTCATTAACGTGGCCGACAGGCCAATTTTGGCTTGTGATAACGTTTTCATCAACCATAATTTCATTCTCCTTCCTCCTACTATCTACTCTTTCCAACTCTCGATTCTTCCAACAGTTATATCGTCTTCTGATTTTTCTTTCCGACCGGGAATAATATTAGTTCTGTAAAGTAAATTCTCTGTAGTTTGAAGAAAGTGCAGACGATGCCTGCCGAGTGCTTTTACACCGATAACCGCATCGTATGTCGGTAAAGGTAAATCGTTCACGGGGAAATACTACGAAAAGAAGTGTGTATATGTATACGAGGAAAAGCTAGGAAAGTTGGTAATTGCTGGAGGATCGTTTAAACTTTTTCGTAAAGATCGAACCGGTCCTCGTTTGAGAAAGAAACGTATCGATCACGGTGGGCATCGTTCTGTTCGTTAGACGATATTGTAAGACAGACAGCAACTTCTTCTTCGTGACCGAAGTTTAATCAAGCCGACATAATCTTGTAAGAATCGTTCGACAAACTGCTCCCTTGTCCAAAGCTACTGGGAAACTTTCGATCCTCGACCCGATACCTTCGAGAGGCTGCTCTGATCATCGTTAATAACCAGCTCCGGATTAAAGGAGAGAATTACCGTCTATTTTCATCACACCGTCTATTACAAAGGAATTTATCGAGAGAGAGAGAGAAAGCTCGCTAAAAATATCCGGCGAAAATTTCTCGCATGGTTGGGCGAATTTTCTATTCGAAAAATTAACGGAAAATAATCCGCCGTGTGGTCGATACGATAATTTCCGTGGAAAATATTAGAAGAAAGTACAGGGTGGTGGTTAATTTTGTATCGTTTCACGGGTATCGGTGGAGAGCGGGTCGAGTAATAAATTCAGGACGCTCGTTGATGAATAAATTAACGAACGGTACGATGTGAAATATTTTGCAGAAATACGTGATGGGCCCGTTCGATCACAAGAGGTACACGTACGATCGGTACATGCCGTTGATTTTCATCGGTGGCGTGCCACGGTCCGGCACCACTCTGGTACGCGCTATGCTCGATGCACATCCCGATGTCAGGTGAGTTCCATTCGCGGGACAAATTGCCAATTATCGGCCGATACGATTCCCGCCGAGTGTTCTTGATCAACGGGTGTCCGTCAAAGGACCGACGGCTAACAGGAGGACGATTTTTCGCGACAGGTGCGGCCAGGAGACGCGTGTCATACCGAGGATCCTGCAGATGAGGATGCACTGGCTCAAGTCTGAGAGGGAGAACCTGCGACTTTCGGAAGCGGGCATTTCGAAAGAAGTGAGTACATTTTGCAGTTCGAAGTAAGCATGTTTAGGAGGATCGTTCGACGATTGAACAGGTAAATGGCTCGCTTTTTAACACGTTCGCTACCGGCGTTGCATATTGTGTCCAATTTTCACGATAGAACGGTATTATCTACGTGTGAGGCATCACAAAAAATGGACAGTTCGAGTATTTAATAAATATCAGGTGTGTACAAGAGCAGGCATCTGTCGTGTTAGGTAAAACTGAGAAAAATATAGATGAAAATAATTAGAAGGATAGTGAGTGATGCTTCGATAGAACCGTGGTAGCGAACGTGTTAATATGGTTTGTTCAACGAATACTTTTCGACATAATCGCTCTGCTAGTTGTCTCTGTATCAACAGCAAAGAATTCTCTTTATCATCAAATCTGAGCCATTCGTGGAACAAAAAGGAATCTAACGCTCCAAGCCTAATTTTTCATAATTTTGTAATTTTCCTTCATGTCTACTAAAATAGATACGAAATTGACGATAGAGGTAAGGAATCGCGATTTTCAAAGTATCTTACATCTCGTTCAGACATTTTTTCACCCACAGCTCTTTTCGTCCCTTTAAACGTTAAACGAACAAAAGTTCCCTGTTAGACATTTTTCAGCCAGAGCTCTTTTCGTCCCTTTAAACGTTAACCGAGCAAAAGCTCCCTATCAGACTGGTTGCAACGTTATTATAATCGATCGTTCGTTATCAAAACGCGCGTATCGCCTACTCGCTACAGAATTTCCACCAGAATTATTTATCCACTTCGACGAAGGCTAAAATTGGAAACAAAATTGATCGCAATTAATCAATCAGTTTCCGTAGCTAGCCGAGGGATTAATCACAGGCAACAATGAAACAATATTAATCGGAGAATAATTTGTTCAGGTAATGGACAGCGCGATAGCCGCGTTCTGCCTGGAGATAATAGCACGACACGCCGAGCCAGCGCCGCGATTGTGCAACAAGGATCCGCTCACGTTGAAGATGGGCTCTTACATTCTCGATCTCTTTCCAAATGCCAAGTTTATCTTCATGATTCGCGACGGCCGTGCCACCGTGCATTCCATTATCTCGAGAAAGGTATGGGCGCCGATCGAACAGGGCCACTCCGGCTTTGATGTATGCAAATTTATCCCACTTCGTTCGCGAATATTAAAACCCGACGTGTACTTGTCAAGGGAGGAGGGGGGAGGACGAACGAACGAATAAAGAAAAAGAGAGAGAGAGAGAGAGAGAGAAGGAAAAAAAAATTGACGTATCTTTTCCCTGTGCGATGCAAAAGAGAGAACGGGTTCGAAACGGAACGCGGTGGTTGCATGGAAAATTATGCAAATCCTGGCAGACTCGCAATTTTGTAACCGAGAGGATTAACAGGATTTTCTGTGCAATTTATAGAATATTGGTTTATTAACCTGTTCTTCGATTTCAAAGAAACGACAATTAAACGGGTTAGAAGGGGATAATTCGGGAATTCTAGCATCCTCTGTTTTTTGTTTCGATATGTACAGTGGAGGACAAAAGTATTCATACACCATATAAAATGGAATAACTTTTTTACAATTGGGCCAAACGACTTGAGTTTTTTTGAGAAGTTAGAAGGATTAGTTTACTAGATGACGTGTAAACAAATTTTTGAAAAAACTGCAATTAGTCGGAATCGCGAAGAAAATAGCGAAGGTCGTTTTTACAAATTTTTTACCTGAGCTTGTAACGAAAATTTAAAACATACGTTTTGTACATCTATGTCAATTACACACACGCTGAAAATTTCATTCGTTGATAGAAGAAGCGTTCATAAATTGCAAAAAAAAAGGAGATACTGCCGGTCCCACGGACCGAAGCCACCCAAACGAAAAGTTCACTGTCAGTCACCGCGGACTGACGCCGCGCTTAACGTGTTAATTGAGAAATCTAACGTATTTCAGGTGACAATCACGGGTTTCGATCTCTCGTCTTATCGACAATCGTTGATCAAGTGGAACCACGCGATCTCCATAATGTACGGCCAGTGCAAGGAAATCGGTTCGGAAAAGTGCTTGATGGTGCCGTACGAGCAACTAGTACTGCATCCACGTCAATGGATGAAGAAGATCCTAAACTTTCTCGATGTTCCTTGGAACGAATCCGTGATGCATCACGAAGAATTCATTAACAAGCCAGGCGGTGTACCGCTGAGCAAGTAAGTAACAATGGTAACGTTTATCCAGCTTCACAGACGAGAATTGGACTTCGTTCAGAATTTCTTGCTACGTCACACTCGCTCTCCTCTTAATTAAAATTACTTATAGTTTTACTTATAATTTTGGTTCTCTTCTTTACTCTTGTCTCCATCATGCTCCCTTCTTTTCTTTCGTAACCTTTCTAAGTACGATACCTATACAGTCGACCATACCTAGGCTGGCCATTAACGCTGTGAATGCCAGATACGGAAATGAATCGATCGAGAAACTAAAATGCTTCGTATTTTTGGAATGCAGGGTGGAGAGGTCGTCGGACCAGATCATAAAGCCGGTGAATCTCGAGGCTCTGACCAAGTGGGTAGGCCACATTCCAGACGACGTGGTCAGAGAGATGCCTGACATCGCGCCGATGCTTTCTGTCCTCGGCTATGATCCTTATGCTAATCCGCCGGTCTACGGAGCACCGGATAGGCTGGTTAGCGAAAACACCAGACGGTATGGTAACCTTTTAATTATCTTCTCCTGAACATTCCATTCGTCGAATATCCCTTACTCGACGAAAACCAGCCCGACATATTTCTCGTTTCGTCTCCGTTCAGAGAATTGCATCGAATTGCCAATCGACTGAAGGATAGTGTGTAAGATATGAGATAAGAATGTTTGAGTATTTGAGTGAGGTGTCAATGAAGAGTGTTTCTGGGCTGTGCGACAGACGAAAAGAGTGCCTCAGGGCTGTTTGACAGTCGAAAAGAGTGTTTGGACCGAGTTCTTCTGAATGAAAATGCACGATAAGAGCGGTCTGTGAGCAAAAATCGGCGCGTGATAAGAATGCGCGAGTGCGTGTATGAATCTGCGATCGAGCGTGACTGTGTGAAGAATGAAGTATTGTAAGAGCGAATGTCAAAGACGAAGGGTGTTGAGAAATATAATTCTATTCCTACCAAAAAACAAACACCGCTTAAATAATATTTCTATTTCAGATAGTATATTTCCATTTTTATTCTGTTTTCACTGCTAACGCAGGATTCGTCCTCTGCATTAGAACTTTCTTGAAAAGTTTGCTCTACAATCGTTTACGCGATTGATCCTTTCGCTGCGGCAGATGTTTAACCACGGCTGCAAATTTTATTATCTCGGTCGTATCGTTTTAACATTCGGTTTGTTAAATGCGATGGACAGTATTAAATTGCGGTGGATGTGGGAGCAAATTTTCGGGAAGCTTATAGGCGCCGATAGTAATGAGAGGGTTAATCTAAAATACATTTCAGTAGATAGTAACGTAGACGAAGATGTTGATAGAGACGAGAAATAGTATAAAAGAAAAGGAAGGAGTAAGTTGTAAGAGCGAATATCAAAGACGAATGGTGTGTCCGGTGTAACTGAAATAGATATAAAACCCTATCGCTACGAAAAAGTAAATACCAGTACAACATCGTTTCTCTTTTCCAGGGTGCTAGCGAATGGCGAAGTATGGGCGGCCAGAGCGCGTCAGTTCTCTCTAGAGAAGCTAATCGAGCTGAGCAAAGAAGACGAGGCCACGAATGCACCAAACGCGTGACCACGGCCACACGTTCCCCTAGGCACGCGATTCTTCAACCTGTACAATTTCTGTAACGTCTAACACGACGATCCTGGGAGAGCCAGTTTCTAACGAGTACTATTTGGAAGGGGCCGCTAAGGGAGCGTTCTTTTCTTCCTTTTCCTTCTTATTTCCCTTTTTTCCCCTTCTTTATCTTCGTTCGCGCTTCACCTTCCCTTTTGGGAGGGATTCGAGGGCAGCGAATGGGTGGTACGACCTAGTGGCGAAAACAGAAGAGACGAGCGAGGATCCGTCTAGTTTTTAAGGTTGACTCTCGATTAATAAAATTACGCTAACGATCGCTGTTAACGCGAACCGTGCTTCTTCTTCTTCTTTGTATATTTTAACCGGTAGACGTTGAACGTTCGTAAGCCTGTTTCATTACTTTGCGTGATTCAGCTTTTCTATCCTATTCGATGGATCCTGCGTGACGATACGCGCAACAGCAGGATTCTGTTTGGAATTGGACGTTGCGTGCTCGCTGAATCTGGCAAAGTGTACGTACGCGCGAGAATGAAATGCCATGCAAGAGTTTCTAATCGCTTTATTGTTCTTTTTTTTTATATTTTTTTTTCGTTTGTTCGTTTATTATTGCA